TATGCTGAACGGCTATGATTATTTAATATACTTTATCTTTTTCACGAAGTTCATAATGAAAAAACGGTTATGGTAAGATTCGAACAATCGATTTACCACTTGGGAGACCATTGTCTTCACCACTAGACTACGAGATCATGTGCTGAACGGCTATGATTATTTGATTTACTTTAACCTTTTCGCGAAGTTCATAATGAAAAAACGGTTATGGTAAGATTCTAACCATCGATTTACTACTTGGGAGACCATTGTCTTCACCACTAGACTACGAGATCATATGCTGAACGGCTATGATTATTTAATATACTTTATCTTTTTCACGATGTTCATAATGAAAAAACGGTTATGGTAAGATTCGAACCATCGATTTACCACTTGGGAGACCATTGTCTTCACCACTAGACTACGAGATCATATGCTGAACGGCTATGAGTATTTAATATACTTTATCTTTTTCACGAAGTTCATAATGAAAAAACGGTTATGGTAAGATTCCAACAATCGACTTACCACTTGGGAGACCATTGTGTTCACCACTATACTACGAGATAATGTGCTGAACGGCTGTGAGTATTTGATTTACTTTAACCTTTTCACGAAGTTCATAATGAAAAAACAGTTATGGTAATATTCGAACCATGGATTTACCACTTGGGAGACCATTGGCTTCACCACTAGACTATGAGATCGTGTGCTGAACGGCTGTGATTATTACATTTACTTTAACCTTTTCACGAAGGACATAATGAAAAACGGACATGCCTGGACTCGAACCCAAAGTTTGAAACATGGGGGAGCATTGCGTTCACCACTAGACCAGCAGAACTTCTGGAAAATCACTACACTGTTTCAATTAATTTAATTTTTTTATTTTACACAACCTTTTTTCGAAGGATTTTACGTATGTTTGTATACGTTTGCTTTGATGATTTCTATTTTGTCTAAAACGCACAAACCTGAATCTTATTCGTGGCTTTAACCTAATAATATCAAAATTTGTGCTGACGCTTAAATATCACAGTTATGGAGTCCATTGAGCAAAGGAGCAGCATTACCCGGGCAGAAGCTAGTTATATGTCCAGGTGAAGCTAATGGTTACGGTGCGATTGTTTTGTATTTTTAATGAAGCCAAGCCTGATATCACAGATCACAAATTAAAATTTGAGGAAAATGGTAATTCAGATTCATTAGAATGTTTCAACATTTGCCACTGATTTTACAGCTGAAATTTTAGTCCAAATCTTCAACATAACGCAGCCAGATATTTAATAATTCTACTTGTCTTAAGCTGCATGGGTTTACATGGTACCATCCGCTCGTCACAACATCTTCGTTTCCATTAGTAAGCAACTATTAAGCCCCGTTTACACTACACTCGATTTATTGGCACGGCACGGCTAAAATGGGTACCCGTGCCCATTTCATCTGTTCTCGGCCTTTGTTTTGGTAGCCTGAACACTATTAAAATTGAGCACGGGTACCAATTTTAGCCGTGCCGTGCCGATAAATTCGTTGATTTCGGCCAAAATTGCAAGGCGTAGCTCTTATCATTTTGGCGAAAATTAACGATTTTCGAAAATTTTATAAAATGTGCCAGATGATGTAAATTCCGTTCTGCGCATATATTCTGCACATAACAATGTTTGTTTACGTTTGTTATATAACCTTTACATCTTGTAAAACGTATGTGTCGTTTTAATTTTCTTATTTTCCTTTCTGCTTATTTTATATTGTATTTTGAAGAAAATATTATTATATTTTGAAGAAGAAATATAAAGCGAAGCTTGTAAAAAAAGGTTATTTAAAACTTTATATATTTCTACTTGTAGGGCAAGCGAGAAAGTAGCGTTTGTAGGCTGTAGCGATAACAAATAGCGTCGCCATCTCGTGTCCTCGTTCAACAAATAAATTCTTGAAGCATTCATCGCAGAATAATATTGCTTTTTTCTAGCAACCTTATCTTCATCACTCGCAATTCGAGCCTCTTCGTCTAAAATAAAATATATGTGCAGAACGGACTTTACATCATCTTTAGATGATGAAAATGGCTTCGAGTATTTACTGGGACTAATCTTTTTGGTTTTTAATTTGAGCATAATTATTTGGTTGGTTTTTGTAAAATTGAAAAATTCGTAAATTTCTGCCAAAATGGTAAGGGGAAGACATGTTCAGCATGTTACGAATTTTTCAATATTCTGATAATCAATACCAAGCATAAGATAAATGTTATGACATGTAGATATGAGTTGTTGACTTTTAAATATGAACATGCGAAATGACTACATGTGTTTCACCTTTGCTGCTGTACTTATGCCACTGGACGGTTGATGTGAATGGACCTGCACACCTGGAGTAAAGTCTGTGCCATGCTGCCTCACAGTGGCCAGACAATTCGTTGTCTTGTTACAATGTTGTCCTCACCATACTTGCGTTTAACCGTGTACGAATGTCCGAAGTTGTCCACCAACTTACATTTGCCGCGTTCCGCAGAGGACTCATTTTCTCATACTCGATGACACGGATGCTGTCCTCAGGAACAATGTTGCCTACAGTGCCATCTCTAATTGACTCTTCCTGAGCTGTGGGTGGAATTTTTTAACTGCCAAAATCTTCATTTTGTGCTGAACCTTCACGTGAGGATGGTGGAGTTGAGGAATCATTGCCCAAGTTCACTATCAGGTCAACCATTTCACTATCAACGAGTTCACTATCTGTATGAAAAAAGAAATAAATCTTGGTTGGAATAAAAAAGATAGTGTTTCAGTTATGAAGGGAACAGTTATAGCATATTTCACATACCAACAGTTGAAGAAGGTATGATGGTAGGCTGAATAGAAGCTTGAGAAGCACCAACGCCTACCACTAGCTGTACTACCTAAAGATTGAAAACTTCACATGATTAAAATATTGCAGTTTTATCACAGTGTTTCTTTCTATAGAAACAATAATTATTCCAATGCTTGTATATGAGCATTTTTCTAATAGTTACCATGGGGAATTCTCGAGCTTTCGGCAAGTGGCAAAAGAAATCCAGCGCTCATGTTGAGACAATCATCACAACGCCAGTCGATATCCTGTCCATTTCTGACAGCGCTCCTGTACCACTGTTGGGATATCCCAGTGTCGCACGTTCTGTGCTGCCATCGGTCACATCCATCGCATTGAATGCCTTCTTGTCTTGCTCGGACGGAGTTCTTGCTGCGAATGCAAAGATATTGATCGGCCATCGTTAAGAAGAGTCTTGAAGTATCAACTATGGTGTAGCGAACGAGAAGTGAAAGAAAATGCTTTGAATCACCACACCATTTTATACACTATTACTATGATGACTCATCGGCCTCATGAATGTTTGTTGTCTCTGTGAAAACAATAACAGTGGCAAAACAACAGCATTAACGAAGGGTTATTAACAGTTACTAATTACTACCACTATGCAGATAAAACTCTGATACATTTCCGTCTTATGGATTTGACTGCGACGTGAGATAACGTCAACCTCATACCCAGGGTCTTTACTCTACTCGTGGGGAGAAAAGACCCTGGTTGGGGCTGGTCACGTGACCAATTAAAATTCTATCGCCACAGAGGGTACGGCAGAGCGTCGTATTACATGCTTTAACTTGTAGCGTTCTTTCATTCGAAATTGCTATTATGTCCTTGCCGTTCGACCATATCGCTTTTTTTGTTTAATAACAAACGAGTTATTCTCAAACCAAAGCATTTTTTGTCTGGAAAGTGCCTATTTAGAGAAGAATGTAATGTATGCATTCAAAAAGGGATATACAAAGTCCTTAAATCAGTTTTCATCTTCTGCCCATGTTGGTGTTCGCGCGCGAAATACAAGTTGCGCAACAAATAATATGCTTCTTGGAGAGAAGTATTAAAATTGCCCTGCAACATCATTTCTATTGTCGTTTTTCCCTTAAATTAAACTATTTAATGAAAGACCAATATCTGGCCTAAACATGAGCAGAATCCAAGCGTGTGATAGATGAAGAGAAATTCCATGGTTTACTGGTAAGTGGTATATTACCGTATATAAAATTGTGCAACCCCGAGCCGGTGCGGAGCACCGTGTGAGGGTACTAATTCCGCTCGGATATTTACACCCACGATGTGCAAATGCGAAATCAAAGTCGTCCGCCATTATGTAATGGACCTCACGCCATGGACGGTCTTCTACGTCAAGCGCATGCGCCAGTGTGAACTACTAAGGTCTTGATTGGTCGAGACAAAAATTTGTATTTTCAAACGTCAATGAATAACTGTCATTTCGCAAAATTTTGATGAAATTTACAAATTTATATTTGAAGAAATCCAAACTTTTGCCTTTACAAAGAAGAAATCCAAACTTTTGCGAATTCTGTATAATCAAAAAATCAGCTTGAATCCAACTAGCTCTGTAGCTGTGGCAAAAATATTGTATTTGCTGTCGAGATGCCATTATTTCATTTTTCGCAAGCGAAAATACATTCCATTTCGTAACGGATTTCAACGCATTTTAGCTTATCGTAAACTGCTTTTCTTTCTCAATAGCAATAGCGAATTTTTAATGAACATGCTTCAAAGTAAATAGCAAAAATATTTCACCAAGGTCTGTATTTTTAGTTCTTCGAAGCGAAAATGCAAATTGAAGAACAAATAAGCCCGCAATTTTCGGTCAGCGTGAACAAAATGCCCACCTGTTCGTTGAGATAGCCTTTGAAAATCGAGAAAACTTGTTCAAACAAATGTGTATTTCGCCCGCTTTCGTTTCCCCTTTGTCGATTCAATGTCATTTAGAGATGTAGACGCTTGATTCTCAGTGATACTTGTATTGCTTAAAACAGCGTTGGATTGCGAGAGTGAGAGACAGAACTTCCATAGACTTCGGTATTTATTGAGTAAGGAACTTAATTAATATGCATGACATGCACCATTAAACACTTCAGAATATAACACATTCTTATGGAAAATACATTTCACCTCCCGAAAAAAATTGCTTCCTTTATGTATTTCACAATCAAAGGAAAGGTCTGCAGTGAGGAGAGTATTTTATTCCGTGATAGAACTAATAACTGGTAAAAGGACGTCAGACTCAAGGTAACTACCATAAATAATCGTACAATCTGACAAATGTCATGTAAGGAATATACGGCTAGGGTTTGAGTTAGAGGTCAGGGTTTGAGTTAATTAAGAGTTATTTGAGTTATGTAATTTTCAATTTTGTACTTTAAATGTCTATTATTAAATACGGGTCTTTCTGTATGTCTGTCCTTTCGTCAAACGACTAGCGCGAACTGCAAGTAGACCCAGAATTCTGTGAAGACCGACACAAACTCGGCACAAATTCGCAGAGCAACTGTCGATGAATCGGTCTGCTCATATAACAAAATGGATGGCCTAATTGTTTCAAAATTGCTCAAATTTCGCACGTTTCGCTCATCTCTGAACATAAATTCTCTCTCATATCCATCTAAAAATATAGCGAACTAAAATATTCTAAACGTTCTTTATATTCAAGAAATATACAGATTCAAAATGTAAACACAGCGTTTGTTTACATGACGGACTGTGCTTCACGCGTTTAACACACTTTGTTCGTGTGTGGAATGCTAAAATCGCCTTAAATAGTTGGAAATAATTGTAGACAGCAAATAATTGTCAACAGCAAAACCGCTCCACTGTGGAGGCACTTATATCCCTTAAAGATGAAAGATGAGGTAATCAGGTAAAGTCCGTTCTGCGCATATATTTCGCGCAGCAACACATTCCATCAGTGGGGGAGCAACTTTTGGAATGTTAATGATATGCGATATTAGCGCGTTGTATTACAAACAGCAGTTCGGGAGTACAATTATTTTATTCTATGCCGCAAGGCGAAGAGGCGCGAATTGGGAGTGACGAAGATAACTTAATTATCTTATCATCAAAAAAGCAATATTATGCTGAAAGGAATGCTCCAAGAATTTATTTGTTGAATGAGGACACGAGATGGCGAGGCTATTTGTCGACGCTACAGACGCTACCTTCTTGTTTGTCCTACAATTACAAATATATAAAGTTTTAAATAACAGCCGGTTTATTTACAAGCTTCGCTTTATATTTTCTTCAAAATATAATATAAAATAAGCATATTCATCACAGATCACAGCCAGTCGAGCGAGAAGAAAATAAGAAAATTAAAACGACTCATTCGTCATGTAAAGATTATATAAACAACGTAACAAACATTGTTATGCGCAGAATATATGCGCAGAACGGACTTTACATCATCTTTAAGCTTAGCTTTTTGCCCATGAAACAATTGCCAAATATATTCTTCCAATCGAAAAGCTTAATTCCAACCGAATATGGATTTTATCTGACGTAAATATTTACTACCTCCCTGCGTGCATGTATTTCTAGTATTATTATATTGCTTAGAATTGTTGGTACATAAAATTTTCGGATGAATACATTTACTTTTCAGTCAACACCAATGCCATAAATGCTTTTATTCAGTGGCGTAGCCAGCCTGACAATTTTGTCCCGCTATGTAAATTTTGAGTTATTATAATAATTCATTTCTTTAGAAATTTATTGTTTTCACAGTCAATGAACACCAAAATATTAGCATAGCGGGACAAATTGTCAGGCTGGCTACGCTACTGCTTTTATTTCACCAGTCTTTCAACCAAAAAACCAAAATATACAATTGATAAATTAGGCCTCAGTGAAGTAGTCGATGTATCGATGTATGTAGCCGTTCACTCTCACCCTTTTTCATCGTTCACAAAATGTTTTTATTAGATGAGCACAACTTCGACGATCGCCAAACGGCTTGCGTTCTTGTTCCTCGTTATATGGTTACTTGATGGCAATTCATTTTATGCGCATGCCAGTTGCGACAAATTCAGTTGTCCCAGAAGCAATAACTGCATTGGAAACAGATGTGATCCTGCATGCTTTGATAGAAATGAGACCTGCCATCAAAGTTGCCGCAACGAAGGCTGTTCGATGGCATGCCACTCTGCCGTGGAGAAATGCGAACAACGCGGTTATTATGGAGAAATGTCCTGCGAAGCAAGCAACAAGTGTGATCAGGAATGCACAGACGGAGAATGTTCATCATCTTGCAACAATACTAAGGAGTGCGAACAAGAATGTAAAGACGGATCATGTTCATTGTCTTGCGATAATAATAGTAAGTACTGTGCTCAGATATGTGACGTCGCAAGCTGCACCGCAAAATGTAATGATGGTGTGAAACACTGCTTGCAAAGGTGCTCCGACGGTAAAACCTGCCAGCAAACATGTAATGCCAACGAGACGTGCCAACAAGAATGCAGGAAAGGATCTGGAGATTGCTCATTGTCCTGCGATACAAAATTCTGCAAGCAAGATTGTTACAAAGAAGACTGCCAAGCGACATGTAATACTGGAAGCGAAGCCAACGGGGCGTGCCGACAGAAATGCCATGAAGGAAAGTGTTCATTATCTTGCAACACGAGAGACTGTAAGCAAGAATGCTACGAAGGAAAAGAGTGCCATGCAACGTGTAATACTGGAAACGGAGCCAACGAGACGTGCCGACAGAAATGCCATGAAGGAACGTGTTCATTATCTTGCAACTCGAGAGACTGTGAGCAAGAATGCTACAAAGGAAAAGACTGCCAAGCTACGTGTAAGACTGGAAGCGGAGCCAACGAGACGTGCCAACAGAAATGCTATAAAGGAAAGTGTTCATTATCTTGCAACTCGAGAGAGTGTCAGCAAGAATGTTACAAGGGACAAGGCTGTCAGCTGACGTGCAATTCCAAGAAATGTAATCAAGTTTGTGAATACGAAGGTTGTACAGCAACATGCGGCTCTAATGTCGAAGAATGCACGCAGGACTGTAAGAACGGAGGAAAGTGCGTGTCATACTGCAACGCGAAAAAATGTATTAAAAAAGGCAGCCAATGGATCCTAGGATCCAATGGTTCAAAGAGTAAATACGGCTGTGTAGGAAAGCGGAATACACACGGTATCTCACTGATTGCCTTGCTTGTTGTTTTTCAAGCTATTTGATGTATAATTTTGTGATTTCAGTGTTTAAAAATGTGATTATACTGTGTATTCATGCATGTACAATTAATGTTGTATTGATCATATAGTGAACCAAACGATAGCGCTTGTTATCCCAAATTACTCAGCTATACTGCCATAGCAACCATGTACTTTCAAAATTCCATATTTTTCGCTTTTTTTGTTCTCTGTTGTCTTCAAAATGTCTGAATTATCATATTATCATTCTGTTATAATTCCAAGTAATTTTTGGGGGTAGGATGTAAAAAAGAATCGGAGAAATAGCGTTTTATAAGTTCTAAGTGATAACTTCTCAATGTCCAGACACTAGAGTTCAAACAAATAGCTATTCAAAAGTGTAGTCTTTTCACTGATATTTATAGCTGATTTAAATAAAACCAGATTCTAATCACATAAAAAATCCATTTCTCGGTTGAAAAAACTTAATATCTCGTGAAATATACTTTATTTCGGTTTCAAATTTATATCAGAGCTATAGTTCTCATAACTAAACATAATCACAAAATTTCGAATTGTTCCATCAAGAATAACAAAAGATATAATCGATTAAACACTGCAGAATAGATTTCTATTTTCACAAACTTTCTGAGCGCTGATTGGCTGAATTATGAGTGCGAGATCACCTGGATGTTGTAGTTGTTGTGAAATTTTATCAGCAACTATTCGTTGAAGGCGAAGTGAATGTCGCTGAATAAAAACCTATTAATTGATAAATTTTATAGTATAATTGCGAAGGTGATTTTTTAGTTCAGAAAACAGATCTGTTGTAGAAAATATATGTTTGGCAAATGTAAACAAATATTTCACAGCTTATAACGGCGATTTAAAGAAAACATGGTTTTCGCAAGATAAAGTTAAAAAACATTCTACAACGTAGTTTTTTTTTACTTTTTCCCTGCATTTATTAGTTACAATATTTTCGTTAAAATAACCATAGGCCTTGTATATGGAATGACGTGAATAAGTAATTGATTTTTGCTACAAATTTTAATTTTTTTTTATTAATTGCTTTCCTTCTAAAAATGACAGCTCCAGGTAAAAATTGGTGCAGAGTCAGGTATTTTGTAGACCTGCCCTTCTAGGTAAACTACGCGATACGAGTTTTACAAAGTTTAAACCGACTTTCACCTAAAGCCCAAGCTGAAAACTGACAGGACATTACTGGTAAGTGAAAGTGTCGATTGGAGTTAAACCTCGTTCCATACGGTACATCACTAAAGCAGAATACTTTGCAAAATTCCCGTATACTTCCAATAATGTGAATGCTCTATTTTAGCTGGTATCATGGTGTATATCCACGGGAAGCATTTGTCCAGTCAGCGTATAAATCATTCTTGATTAATCAGATATATAGCCCTTGTTTGAATTGTTTCTAGTATATTCGATCTAAATAGAAACGTGTTTTTTAAAAACAATCAACCTATCATTTCAATTTTCGGATTTAGTGCTCAGATTGAGGGTTGTTATGCCAACTCATATTTCGCGTATCACATTTCACTTTGCAAAAGGATTTGCTTCCAGCTGTATATGGATCACATGATTCCTGAAAGCCCTAGCGGATCAGATTCTATTCAAGGGAAAGGTCTGCAGTGATCGGAGTGTTTCATTTTGACATAGAACAAAATAACTGGTATAAAAGCACTTCAAGGTAACTGCTATTAAAATAAAATTTACTTGTTTAGTAGAATCTGGAAAATATCGTGTATATACGACAGAAATATTTGAGGTTAAGGGTTAGGAAAAGATTCTACATTTATACGCGTTAATTTATTTTATTGTATTACCGTTTTGGCATTAAAAGCGACAGCGTGGAATAGTAACGAGGGTGGTATACAACTTGAATCATAAAAATTTCTGGTTCCGTTGCCGTTTCACGCCCGGTTTGTGTCAGGCTTCGCAGAGTTCCCTGTCAACTCGCACCAGTCGCTTGTCGAAAGCACTTGAGGGCAAGACATACGACTTCAAACTAAGAAGACCCACATATCAACCATGAACAATAGACAATAAGTTATCGTTCGGATTGTTTTTGTGCGTACGCGTGCATGCATGCGGACGCAATTTCAAATTCTTCCGGCATCGTGTAGACAGGGCCTTAGTGCGGTAACAGTATACTATATACCAGTGTCAAACATTACTAGTTAGTTACATCGAACATAAATTTGTTAAAAATCAACCGTTTCGGAAGAGGGTATAATGCACTGACATGCGGGGAAAATGTTTTAAGTCACGATTAAGGACACAAAATTATTACCGAAGGGTGTGATCGGACGGCGGGTACATTCCTGTTAGTTATGCACGAACAACTAGGGGCCGGTTGTAAAACCAATTCTGTCCTTAACTACCGTTAAAAGTTAACTAGTCTTTTATACAACTGACTCCACAAAATTGGAATTTACAGGTCGGATTATGCATGTGTATCTCTTTTCTAGTGGAATCAAATAATTCAGCATATGAATTGGCTAATTGGGTTGATGCATGGAAAACGCTCTGTGGTATCTATATAGCCTATTTAGTACCATTCGAAAGCAACAATGAAACGTGTCGTTTTAAGCGTGAAACGTTCCGTTTAGCGTAACTAAACATGCATTCGTTTATTATTTACCGTCTATTGACAGTATCTAACTAATATAAACGAATACTCATGGTTGACATGTGTGTCTCGTTGCTTGCAGTCAAAGGATTAATAAAATACGTCATGTTTTGAACCTAAACAAACCCGTCAATAGTTTACGCTTAATGAACGCGGAAGGGATATAACAATTCTCTCTCGCAAACATTGTTATATTCCTTTTAATCCATGCTTTTAGCCAAAACAAATAATGCTTTCAATCAAAAGGTCTAATTCCAGCTATGAATGGCAGTATAGAACCATCATTATCATACAAGTTTTTTTTTATCGTGAGGAGTTCACATCCTTTCCATATTTTCGAAAGATTATGAAATTTAAGAACCATTTATCCTCAAAGACATGAAATAGCTAGTTCATAACCAGACATTAAAAAAACTTGAGAAATTTCGTTGTCTCGAGCAGGATTTGAAATCGCATCTAAGGGTATCTAGCTATGGTAGTCAAATTAAATCGAACGCCACCTGCTTGCTCCACATCAACATTCAATATGCATGTTGATATATTTATGTATATGTTGATTCTTTGATCTTAATTCATGCTCTTACCTCGTGATAACTCGCTTTGACGTGGCTAATTTTGATGTCGTGCTAATGCGAACCGGCATATAGCGTATAAACATAGGCATCCCAGGTATTAATACAATTTGTATTTTTATATTCAATTCAAAACTCTCGCAAGCGCACAACACCGCAGAAATTGGTGTTTATGAAGTTTCAACCCGAAAATCTGATCACTGGTTCACATTGTGTATTGCTGTATCGCTATCAAAGAGAAAACTATTGAATAACTTTAAAAAGTTCGGTTTTTCTTCCGAATACGCATTCTGCAATCTTTTGACAGCTCATCATACACATCTGACAGCTGTGAAATGGCCATTTTGAGGCTTAAAGTATACACAAGGTAATTAATTCAGACGATTCGTTTTTGCCGTGTTCAAGCTTCAAATCTTTTGTGCAAGACATATTTTGTGTAGTATCTATAAATCTTTTTTCTCACTAAGTTTCTCGCCTAAGTATTGAGAATTGCGGCTAAGTATTTTTCAATCCTACCAATTTCCGCGGTGTCCAAGCGCACGCGAGTCGCATTGCTATGACGTAATGCATAAACAATTGTCAATTACTATATATATATACCTAAGGTAGGAAAGTCTAGCTCACTATTTCAAACCAACACATCTTAAGACGTCATCAAATATCAAAACCTCGTTTACAAAAGCCGTAAAAACTATATGAATATAAACACGGGTAACTCTACTCAACTAGTCTAGGTGACTTTTTTCCCCCAAATACTCCTTCAGATACTCGTAATTATGAAAATATTTACGGTGTTTTGCCGTAATTTATCGTGTCTCTATGCGGGAGGCGATCGACTTGAAATTCGTCATAGGTTTCAAATACAATGCCAGCTGTTCATTGGCTTTTGAAATTCTCACAAATTTTCGCGGGCTTGATAGCCAATGAGAAGCTGGCATTGTATTTGAAACCTATGACGAATTTCAAGTCGATCGCCTCCCGCATAGAGACACGATAAATTAGGGCAAAACACCGTAACTATTTTCATATTTATGAGTATCTGAAGGAGCATTTGGGGAAAAAAGTCACCTAGAGTTGAGTAGAGTTATCCGTGTTTATATTCATATAGTTTTTACGGCTTTTGTAATCGAGGTTTTGATATTTTCGGACGTCTTAAGATGTGTTGGTTTGAAATAGTGAGCTGGACTTTCCTACCTTAGGTATATATATATATAGTAATTGACAATTGTTTATGCATTACGTCATAGCAATGCGACTCACGTGCGCTTGCGAGAGTTTTGAATTGAATATAAAAATACAAATTGTATTCCTGGGATGCCTATAGCCTGTGCACAGACGGAACGCAAACATCAAAATAGCAAATTCATAAACCGACAAAACAAATTCATAGACTCTGAGAAATTTCGTCTCGAACAAGATTTCAGATCTCATCCTGGGGTATCTGAAGTAGTCAAATTGAAACGACTAACATTACCTGCTTGCCGACGAAATAAGTTATCAGGGAGCTTTAGCAGCAGCCGACGAAATAAGTTAATAACTTATTAGGAGGTTTAAGCATTGACTATACAAGTACATGCAGGACTCGTGATTCTCGCGCGTTGTTTGCTTACGCCATCGGCCAGAACTCGTAATCGCCGAGCTTTTGAGTACGAGTTTGTTGCTTAACTTCGGCTCGAAAGCCCAACAATGACGAATTTCAGCTGATGGCGTAAGCAATGACGAATGACGAATCTTGAACTCGCAGACACTGCTAAAGCTCCCCATTACTTCGGCGTAAGCGACGGATTTGAAAAATGGCCCAGGTTTTTTTGTGCTTTTTTGATTATTTTCATCGTCGCAAGTGTGTTTTGATGCGAAATATATTTTGAAATTCAACGCCATTGGTTAATTTGTACACAGGGCTTTAGAGGACATCAGATCCGACGCTCGCTGAAAAAGTTTTTCACCGTATCTATTCACGCTAAAATTTTGTCTCGCAATACTTCGGCCAATTTTCCGATGCCCAATATAATTTTACTCACATGAATCGGCCACTTCACGACGATGCACAAATAAACCATTCTTTAGTTCTAATGTTGTTAAGTTTAGGTTTAATTGGGGTGAAAGAATAAATTTAATGCATGTGGATTTAGGGTCTATTTTAAGCCCCGTTTACACTACACTCAATTTATTGGCACGGCACGGCTAAAATTGGTACCCGTACCAAATTTTATTAGCGTTCAGGCTACCAAAACAAAGGCCGAGCACAGATGAAATGGGCACGGGTACCCATTTTAGCCGTGCCGTGCCAATAAATCGAGTGTAGTGTAAACGGGGCTTTAATAACACATAGATAGTTCGAATAAAGAGACTTCTTTTCAGACATTTTAATATAAAAGTGAGCGATAAAAGATTTACACGACGTTTCGATGTCATCATAACATCATTCTCATGCAAGTGAGTTAAAACTAGAATAAACATGTCCTTAAATATGCTATGAGCTAAAAAATATGCATTTGTCCTGAGCAAGGGCTAATCGACCATGACTATGTACAATAAAAATGGATTATTAAAATTCTACAATACATCATTAAATACGTTATATATATATATAAAGGATAAAGGCTATGGTGTAATAGTGTATAATGTACAACATAGTTTGACTGTCCATTTAAGCTATAGGTTTTAGTTCTTTAATGAAAAGCATTTCGAAAACCAGACAGTCAAACTTGTTTCTGCATTTTCGAAGAACCGAGAACCTCCCAAGCTAGTTTTAATTCACTTGAGGATGATGTTATGATGACATCGAAACGTCGTGTAAATCTTTTATCGCTCACTTTTATATTAAAACATAAATAGTTATAGGTATAATACATGATTGCAGAAGAATGCGATCAACTATCAAGCACTAACACAGCATGAACCATTTACATTCGTGAAAACAACACGCAATTACACGCTAATAAGAGCTATAAGGGTATCATAGGAACAATTAAGTTTTAATATGAGCACGAATGTGTACCCAAAAAAACAAAGAAGTAAAAAGAATAGGCCTAACATTATTTCAAGGCAAAAAAATACGTTTTACAGAGCGCTTCTATTTTGCTAAAACATGCATAGATCGCCGTAAAATTGTCGAATATTTTTTACGTTTGCAAAACGTGTATTCAATCCGCAGTTTCGTTTTTCAAAAAATATCATCCTTGTAATTGAACTAAAAACAATTATTCACTTCAGGCTCGGTTAATAACGCTGAATAAAAACAAATGTATCCCGTTGAAATAAAGTCGGACGGCATAACATATAGTATTTTGGCTTTGAGTACGTCATGCTACTCATGCACTGACACCCATGCACAGGAACAGGGGGGATTCATTCTATTTCTTAAGTAAAAGCGCAACGAACAAGCCGGAGTAATTGCAAATTTGTCTGGTGGAAAACATCAACAGACCAAAATTCTCATGGAAAGAGAAACCACGACGACACGAAGTTCATTTTTACCATGTGAAGTGCCCTTTTACTTAAATCTGACCCGCTTTGCCCTCGCGTTGTACCGGCGTCACAGTCCAGGCAACGGAAGGAGTTCGAATCAATTTGCAATTAACTGAAGTGTTCCTACAGCAACCGAAACGAGAGCACATTTGCTTCATTACATTTTAACTTTATACATGCGAAAATTTTTCCCGCATATTATATTCACCGGAAAGTATGAGCCATATTTATCAAGCAGAGAGTATCAAAAAATATTCTATAATATGCACAACCCCGTAACCAGGGCCTCTCGTAGGGGGGAGGGGAAGGCCCTGGAAACGGTTGCTCACGTGACTCCAAATTCTTTTTATTATTGGCGCACTACATTGACCGAATCCCCCAAAAAATCACGTGGACAGCCTGTTCCAGGGCCCTCTCCCTCTTACGAGAAGGCCCTTTTAGTGCGAGGTTTTCATGGATTCTCAAAACTCGAAAAAAAATCCATATTTCCAAGAATCCATGTATTATCCTCAATATCAACCTGCTGTAAACGCGATGCAGAGAAAAATTCATGATCACGTTCAATACTTCAGCGAATGCAAGGGATGAATTAGGTCTCAGTAAAATAAATATTCCGCGTACAGTATGCAGTTCACCGTCGTCGCTTTCTGCTCATTACAAATTGTTCTTATTCTTAGATGACTTCCAATTCAACGATCGCTATGCGGTTTGTGCTGTTTTTACTCGCTATATGGTGTTTATGTCAACTCGACGGAAATTCAGTTTCTGCGCAAGCTTCAAGGTGTGATCCAATCGATTGTCCCAAAAGCGCCAACTGTACCGCAGACAAATGCGATACTTCGTGCAATGAAGGTAACACGACCTGCTCCCAGGAATGTTACAACGAAATGTGTTCGATAACATGCCAAGCTGGGATGGAGAAATGCGAACAACGCGGTTATTATGGAGAAATGTCCTGCGAAGCAAGAAACGCGTGTTTTCAGAGATGTGGAAAAGGAGAATGTTCATCATCTTGCAACAATACTGAGGAGTGTTATCAAGATTGTGGATTCGCAAATTGCACCGCAAAATGTAATGTTGGAGCGAAATTCTGCAGGCAATTGTGCCACGGTAGTAAAAGCTGCCAGCATACCTGTAATGCCAGGGAGACGTGTCAACAAACATGCAGCATGGCTAGAGGATCTGGAAATTGCTTATTGTTTTGTAATACGGATGTCTGCACGCAATGGTGTCACAAAGAAGACTGCCAAGCGACGTGTAACTCTGGAAGCGGAGCCCACGAGAAATGTCGACAGGTATGCTATGAGGGAAACTGTTCATTATCTTGCAACTCGAGCGACTGTGAACAAGAATGTTACAAGGGAGGCTGTCACCTGACATGCAATTCTAAGAGATGTAATCAAGTTTGTGATCAAGGAGGTTGTGTTGCAACATGTGGCCCTGATGTCGAGGAATGCACGCAAGAATGTAACCAAACAAAGTGCGTATCACACTGCAACGCAAAAAAATGTTTGAAAAAAGGCAGCCAATGGGTCCAGGATCTTAATCCAACTACAACCATCAATCCGAACACTAATCAGGAACTTGATCCAACTACAACCATCAATCCGAAGACTAATGGATCAGTAACTGCAACAAGCACTACCAAAAATGGTACGAAAAGTGAAGCCAGATGTTTTGGTAAGCTACACGGCACCCTGCTGTTTCCTTTCCTTGTTGTCTTTCAAGCTAATTGATGTACAGTATAATTTTGTGATTTCAATTTTAAAAATGAACAAATAATTATAACAGTTACCATTAATAGTTACCATCAGTGTTTTCGCTGAGGTTTATTACTGCATAATGCATGCATTGACAATTAAGATTCTATTGAACTAAGTAGTATTGTGATCGTCGTTTTTATAGTCCTACATGTAATGAATGATTTTATATAAATAAAGTCCTAATAAATTGGGAGGAAAAATTTTTTGTCTTTCAAGTTAAATAATGTATAGTTTTGTGATTCAAATGTCTAAAAATGAACAAATAGAAATTAGATGACCGCGTGTGTTTTTAGCTGACGATTATTACTGAATACTACTGAGTATGTACAATTAAGATTCTATTGAACCTAGTAACATTGTGATACGTTCACTGTAATAGATGGTTTTAATTGAATAAGGAGAAAGTCTTTTTCAAAAAAAGTTTAGACCAGTAGACCAAATTGTGCACCAGGTAAAAGGGATTTGTTATTACGCGAAACGTTCGCGATGAAACGCTTCGAAAGTTGTATACGATTTTACTATTATGCTAATAATAAAAAATAATCATGCAATGTTGCTCTTACAATTAGCGGCTAATAGTACTCGTGATGTTTGAGAACTTTGCCCGACGGCTCGTTCAATTATGGTAAAATTTCCAAATCATCACTCCCGAATGGTACTCGCTATTGCATGATGATTACCAATACTAATTTGCAAGTGGCGGTCTAGGGATGAACAGAATAAATTAAACAGCTTAATTTTAAATTCTAAACACCTTAATAACCAAGCTATTGGTATATAGATTTATAGATACACCCCTAGATCCGCTACTGCATGTAATCCGCTATATTTTACTCCTGATATTTTGGCGTGAAAATGAACATTTATGTATAGGAAAAAAACGGCAAGGTTTTTTGCTTTCGTTTAGATTTATTTTGCTGGCCTGTGTTCTATTTCATAGAAGACAATACCTCCTTTGTGTCCGCCATATTTAAAGCACAAGCCACGTGACCTCATTTCACTTTCGTGTAACCATAGAAAACCACGAAACAAAAATATCGGATTAATCAAATATATCCGGCATCGTGAGATTGCTCAATATCCATCAGCAAGCGGACCTCAATATAACGTTTGGACATGGTGCTGATGGAAAATTGATAAGACTAAGAGCTGAAATTTGCAATACTTAGGCGTAAAATTTATATAGGGAAAGAAAATACTTACTCAACTATAAATACTCAACAAAATATGTCTTGCACAAAAGATTTGAAGCTTGCACACCTTGAACGTTGTGTATACTTTAAGCCTGCTGCTGTTAGATGTGTATGATGAGCTGACAAAAGGTTGCACAATGCCGTATTCAGAATAGAAATTCAACTGTTTTCTCTGTGATAGCGATACAGAAATACAAAATTGTGAAGCAGTGATTAGATTTTTGGGTTGAAACTTCGTAATCACCAATTTTTGCGGTGTTACGCTGATGTCTGTGAGGTTACAAAATATCTAGCCTGCATGAACACAGACCTTCATTTCGTCCGCCTTAATATTCGCGGGGAGATGCGAGACAATTTCTGCGGTGTTACGCTGGTGTCTGTGAGGTTACAAAATATCTAGCCTGTGTGAACACAGACCTTTCGCCAGCCTTAATATTCGCGGGGAGACGCAAAGGCGAAACAAAGGTCGGAGGATAAATCGGTCAAAAGCGTCTGTGTTAAGGCTACAAAATTTCCGAGTTACATGCATGCAAAAAATATTTTTCATAGGATATTAAATGGTCAAAATTTCTTTCACCACAATTCCCATTTTCTTTGCAGCTGTAGAACAATGCTTGATTCGACAAAACAACAAATGCGTGCAGAGATTATAGATTATGTTATATTATGGATTCTTTTTGTTACACTGCTGATGAAGACAGTTATTTAATGTATATATTCATAACACAAAATAATTAAATGTTAATTATGCAAAGACAGGTTGAAGAAACGTCTCGAGCTCCGATATAATTTTCCGATGTTCGCAATTAGTACACGGAACGTACGGTTGCCATGCAAACTCGCGTATCATATTTCACTTGTCGAAAAAATTTGCTTCCTGTATAATTTTTTTTCCTGTATGGAATGCAAATTTTAGAAAGGTCTGCAGTGAGGAGAGTATTTTATTCCGTGATAGAACTAATAACTGGTAAAAGCACGTTAAGGTAAATACTATCAATATTCATAGAATCTGACAAAGGTCATGTAAGGAATATACGGCTTAGGACTTGAGTTAGAGCCACAAAAGGTAATGTGGCAAAGTTAATTGGAAGTAACAATATCAAATTTTACACGATTATGTAGTTCTCAATTTTGTATTTTCAACATCTAGTATTAAATACTTTTTTCTTTATGTCGTTCCTTTCATCAAACGACTAGCGCGAACTGCGAGTAGACCCAAAATTCGGCGAAGACCGACACAAACTTGGCGCAAATTCGCAGAGCAACTGTCGATGATTCGGTCTGCGCATATAACAGAATGGTAGTCTTGTCTACTTTTTTCAAAATTGCTCAAATTTCGCACGTTTCGTATATCTCGAACGTAAACAGGGCATCGGTTAGACAGGGCCTCAGTGCAGTAACAGTATACTATATACCAGTGTCAAACTGTTTGGCACTGGTATATAGTATTCTGTTACTGCATCACTAGTTACACCCAACATAAATGTGTCAAAAGTCAACCGTTTCGGAGGAGGGTATCAAGCACTGACATACAGGGAAAATGTTTTAAGTCACGGTTAAGGACAGAAGTTATAGACGGAATTATTACCGAAGGGTATGATCGGGTGGCGGGTACATTCCTGTTAGTTATGCACGAACAACTAGGGGCCGGTTGTATAAAACCAATTTTGTCCTTAACTACAGTTAAAAGTTAACTAGTCTTATATACAACTGACTCCAGAAGATTGGAAGTTATACAGGTCAGATTATGCATGTGTATCTCTATTCTAATGAAATCAAATAATTCAGCATATGAATTGGCCAATTGGGTTGATGCATGGGAAACGCTTTGTGGTATCTATCGCCTATTTAGTACCATTCGAAAGCAACAATGAAACGTGTCGTTTTAAGCGTGAAACGTTCCGTTAAGTGTAACTAAAGATTTGTTTATTACTTACTGTCTATTGACAGTATTTAAGTAATAAACGAATGCTCATTGTTGACTTGTGTGTCTTTTTGCTTGCAGTCGAATGATTAATAAAATACGTCATGTTTTAAACCTAAACAAACCCGTAAATAGTTTACGCTTAATGAACGCAGAAGGCATATAACAATTCTCTCTCGCAAACATTGTTATGTTGCTTTTAATCCATGCTTTTAGCCAAAACAAATAATGTTTTCAATCAAAAGGTCTAATTCCATGCAGCTATGAATTGCAGTATATATAGGACCTTTATCTGACAAGTTTTTTTTCATCGTGAGGAGTTCACAACCTTTCCATATTTTCGAAAGATTATGAAATTTAAGAACCATTTATCCTCAAAGGCATGAAATAGCAAATTCATATCAACAGACACAAGCTTCAAAATGGCCATTTCACAACTGCTGTCAGATGTATATGATGAGCTGTCAAAAGGTTGCAGAATGCGTTTTCAGAATAGAAATTGAACTGTTTAAAGAATTTGGCCTGTTTTCTCTCTGATAGCGATACAGAAATACAAAATTGTCAACCAGTGATTAGATTTTTGGGTTAAAACTTCATAAACTTCATACGCTGATGTCTGTGAGGTTACAAAATATCTAGCCTGAACACAGACCTTCGTTTTGCCAGCTTTAAAATTTGCGGGGAGACGCTAAGGCAAAACAAAGGTCGGAGGATAAAGTGGTCAAACGCGTCTATATGTTTAGGCTACAGAATATCTGAGTTACATGCAAAAAATATTTTTCATATAATATTAAATGGTCAAAATTTCTTTCACCATACACAATTCCCATTTTCTATGCAGCTGCATGTAGAACACTGCTTGATTCGACAAAACAACAAATGCGTGCAGAGATTATAGATTATGTTATATTATGGATGTTTTTTTGTTACACTGCTGATGAAGACAAGTATTTAATATATATTCTTGAAGACAAAACAAGTAAATGTTAATTATGCAAAGACAGGTTGAAGAAACATCTCGAGCTCCGATATAACTTTCCGATTTTCGTAATTAGTACATGGAACGTACGGTTGCCGTGCAAACTCGCGTATCATATTTCACTTGCCGAAAAAATTTGCTTCCTGTATAATTTTTTTTCCTGTATGGATTGCAAATTCAAACGAAAGGTCTGCAGTGAGGAGAGTATTTTATACCGTGTTAGAACAAATAACTGGTAAAAGGACGTCAAGGTAACTACGTATGTACCATCAATAGTCGTAGAATCTGACAAATGTCGTGTAAGCAATATACGGCTTAGGGTTTGAGCTAGAGCCACAAAAGGTATTCTCGCAAAGGTAATTCAATATCAAATTTTACACGACTATGTAATTCTTAATTTTGCATTTTCAATATCTATAGTCTTAAATACATTTTTTTGCATGTCTGTCCTTTCGTCAAAAGACTAGCGCGAACTGCGAGTGGACCCAGAATTCTGCGAAGACCGGCACAAACTGGGCGCAAATTCGCAGAGGAACTGTCGATGAATCGGTCTGCTCGTAACAAAATGGGTGGTCTACTTGTTTCAAAATTGCTCAAATTTCGCACGTTTCGCACATCTCTGCATGAACAGACTGAACTTAATTCTCTGTCATATCCATTTAAAAATATAGCGAACTAAAATATTTTCTCTCAAATATTCTAAAAGTTCTTTATATTTTAGAAAATTTACGGATCAAAATGTAAACAAGGGTTTGTTTACATGACGGACTGCACTACACACTTTTAACGCACATTGTTCGTGTGTGGAATGCTAAAATCGCCTTATATAGTCACTCGCAAATAATTAATTGTAGACAGCAAATAATTATATTGTCGAGAAGAAAACCGCTCCTCTGTGGAGGCTCTTATATCCCTTAGGCATAGCTTTTCGCCCATGAAACAAATTATGCTTTCAATCGGCTTAATTCCTATCATGAGTGGTCTATGGCTATTATGGGTTTTATCTGACATATTTACTACCCTCTGCGTGTATTTCTAGAGTTTTAATATTCTAAAG